AGTTCGCGCGCTATGGGGTAGACGAAAAACAAACAAAAAAAAAAACGAGTAAAATAAAAAAAAAAAAACCCGTTCGCGGTCAAAGCCCGTGGTACAAAACATTATTTTATACCATATAGTGCGTATACCATTTGCGTGTGCGACATCATATGGACCGCAATCTCACGAATTGTGGGCGTCGGTCTTTTATAACCTGTCCAGTATTACGAGTACGTATCCGCGAGAACCCACTGTATTTCCAGTGTTGTTGATAATAATATACACACGACTTACGCGTACTTGGGCGCGCGAATACGTTATACTTAAAACATGTGCGACGACGGCAAGGCCGAACGGAAGTAAGTCCGAGTAACCTAGCCATATCACTATAACGTATGCTAACCATCGGCGTACTTTCGGGAGGAGGGATTTAGGGGATAGATCCCCCACATAGTATTTTTTTTCTTTTTTTTTAATTACTGTAGAATATTTTTCGGTGGTTTTTCCATTTTCATGAAATATTAAGTAAGAAAAAAACAATAAATTGATGGGTGATAAATTAATAATTAAAATGTTGGGTACCCCTATCTCGCTGCAGTTATTGCGTCGCCTCCGCCGAAACTCCGCGACAAGCTGGCTGTACGATCGAAATTTGATAAAACAAAAAAAAAAATAATAAACGTAAAATACAATAACATGATATTATTAGACTAAAATACAGAAATCACAAAAATTGTATCGTAGTAGTATATAACACGTAATCTCAGACTATTGGCATTCTTGTTTCTTTGGAAAAACGTCATTCGTATTTTTGGTCTTTAGACGTCACACTAACTGATTGTAATTTGTATTACATAATATTTACGTATAAACGTTAATATATTTTTTTTAAACTTAGTACTTACTACATAGTACCTACCTACTAGCTACTATTTTAATCTTGGTCAGTTTTTGGACCTTGTGGTGTTAACTGTTTAGTTATTTGGATTCACTTTGATGAGGAAAAAAATAACATTTTAGATTCAGAGCGTAGCGAGGAAAGTTACATTGATTTTTTATCTATGAAATTTTTTTACCAGAAACTTAATTCCGATGTAGCACCTTTTCTGAAAGGAAATTTTATCTACATAATACTTGTGGGAAGCTATTTTTCGATTTTTCAAGCGGTTTTTATAATAATTGAAAATAAACGTAGGAAAAGAGTAAGAATAAATATTTATGTCGTAACGATTTGATGATATTACATTTTTGTAACTTATGTTAAACCTTGATGGATTAAACTCGACAGATAAAATTATTATACCAAACAAAAATTCTTGGAAATTTAAAAAGAGGTTCAAGGTATAAGTCATACTTTATTGTAAAAAAAAAAATGAGTTTAATGAAACAGTTTTATTTATGTAAGAGTTTTAATATCTAATTTTGACGAAATTCGTAAATATTACGGCATTTAAAATTCAAATATGAATAACCGAAATTCGCTCCGAATCATTTTTTATTATCGTTATGTACTTTCAAATATAGATTAAATTCCCCTCTATATCCTATTTTCCCAACTTCTCACCTAAAAAAGTGACCCACCCGTTGTTCAAAGTTTGTCAAATTTTTAAATTTAAATTTAATTTGTATTTTGTGTTATTTCGGTTTGGAAAAAATAAATAAAATAAAACTTAAAATGAAAGGAAGCTTGACTACTGTTTAAACCGCAAGAAAAGAAGCCAAATATGTATGCAGAAACCAAAGATGTGAGGAAATGAGTCAATAATAATAACTGATTAATTGTAAATTTCGTGTTTTTTTTATGTATTTTTATTTGTTAGGTATCTAGATTTTATTAAAATTATATGACTTAATAAATGTGTTCAAAATTTTACAAGAAGTTCATTATAAATCGTACTAAGTGGTCAAACTAAAAAAATTGTATTTTCATAAAAGTTTTAGTATGTAAATTAAATAAGTTTATCGTTATATCGTTTATGAATCTTACCTTCCCAACTTCTCCCTACAACAGTGGCACACCCGTCCCAAGTTTCACCTCTTTTTTACGCGCTTACCATGGTTCAAATACTACAGCTCGTCATCGTGTTCATTTTTTTAATTATAAACTAATTATTTTTCTAGGCGATATAAATAATGTATTTTTGTTACATAATCATTCAATAATTTGCGGTTCAATCAACAAAAAGCGAAAGATTAGAAATTTACGAGACACGTAGTCTACAGGCAAGGTTTATAAAATTATACTCTATAAGAATATTATTATAATTTGTAAACCTTGTTCTACAGGTGCCTACCTAATGGTGACGTCAGGTATTTAACATTTTAATGACATCAATCACGTGTATGTATATGACATGTAAATAATTAGATGGTTTTTATTTGTTGAGTATTTTATTCACGGTCTCGGTATAAGTCACATTCATCACTTTGCTCTGTCAGGGTTAAAAGGTCGAACGAAATTTCGGTATTTACACGTGATGTAGTTTTAATTTTCATAAATTTACAAAGGAATATTTGTCCACGCACACAATAACACATATAATCACTGGCGTAGTGGCGTATTTACGGGGATTTATGGGGTGGATCATGTGGATATATCCGCCCTCATTACTTTTTATGTGCGTGTATTATTAAATTATCGTAATTATAACTAATATCAAGATGTTATTTGATAATTTTAATATATCAAAAAAAAAAAAACTAGTATTATAATTTATGCTAAATGTGTAAAATGCGCGATTATCGCGGTAAAATAATCATTTCTCATTAGTTAAAAGTAATATCAACAACCACGGTCCACAATGTGCCCGAGAAGAGTAGCTTATGGGTGTGACCGTCGTGGCTTATAAATTGATAAGAGGACAATAATAGTAAATCTTAGGGATACCCAAGAGAGGATTTCAGGTCCAGATCTCCCCATAAATGTAGTAAACCATTCTATAAATGTGTATACAAGGTGATTTTTTATCATGAACCAACAATTATCTCAGAGGATTTTAAGTGGATTTGATTTCTATTTTTTCCAATCATTATGGAATCGTTTAAGCTTTATTTTAAAACCTTTTTTAATTTTTTTACTCCTACTCCATATACCTTAAATAAGTGTATAATTTTGATTTTCAAATAGGAAATCCCCCCTAATTTTGAACACTTATTTGAATAAAGAATATTTTTCTAAAAATGCTGAAATGCATAATACTAATATCAGATTATTTACCATTTACGATTTATAACAGTTTAAAGTTTAGACCGGAGAAGTAGAGAAAAGTCATAGAAAAATATTCTCTATTCAAATCTATGTTTAAAAGAGGGGGTTCCTATTTTAAAATCAAAAGTATGCACTTATTTAAGGTAAATGGAGTAGGAGTAAAAAATTAAAAATGGTTTTAAAATAAAGCTTAAACGATTCCATAACGATCAGAAAAAACAGAAATCAAATTCACTTAAATCCTTTGAGATAATTACTGGTTCATAATAAAAAAAATCACTTTTTATACGTAGTACGTGTATGACACTGTGTTATGTGTGTAACTATTATTAGTGTTATTAATAGTAAGTACTGTTAATCTGTTGGTTATGATTTTCACTATAATTATAATTATTAAAAAACATATAAATTAAAAATTATGGACGACGTAGAACGGTGGAAATGTACCACACGTGGTTGTAAATCTTTCTTAGTATTGGAGGAATGTACGATTAACATTTGGAACATAATCAATCGCATTCAGTGACGAAGCGAGCGAGGGGGGGGAGTGTTTTGGTGTTCAAACTCCTCTCTTTAATTATATTTATGCCAACACTTATAATTTTTACTACATTAATATGCAGTTATGCATCAGATTTCTACAAGATGTGTTACGCGTAGATAATTATTAAGTATATTACCTATTTTATATGTGTTACATACACACAAAAAGGTTACAAAGTTACATCTAAACACGAAATAAAAACGTCCCTCTAAAAAACATCCTGGCTACGCCACTGCTCGCATTTATGTATGAATAATGACAATGTATTAAGGAGGAGGTATATCAATAATAGTTTAAAGCGTAAAGCTCAATAAAATTTGTACAAAACTTCTCCGAGGTCAATTTGAACGAATTAGATATTTTGACTACACAATCCATTGCAACGCTATTCGAAAGACATTATATTCACATTCAAAATCGGTACTAAAATTAACCGACAGGGAAACTTGGAATGCTTTTGAAAAAATTCATGTTAAGATTGAAGGACGAGAATTTTTTATTTCTCGATGACGAAGAATCGAATATTATAATATTCTTACCTGTGACACCAACTTGAACATTTTCAAGAATAACAGTTTAAGCACATTTAAACGTTCTCTAAAATTATTTTTCCAGGTGTTTACTGTCCATGTTTCCCATAACGGACACTATCTTCTCCTGATTTACTGTTTTTTGTCTGATAAAACATCAGTCACCTACGGAAACGTTTTTTCAGCATTGGGTGATTACACAAATCCACAAGTTATAATTGTAGACTTTGAAGAAGATATTCACTGTGAAGTACAAAAAACAGGGCCATAGAAGTGCAAATTCCATTTGGGTCAAAGTTAAATTGGGAATTGACCTTTTTGTAAAAAAGGGAGCCGTTTCCGAAAAACAGGAGCCAAATGAGCTATAACTGCAATTGGAAGTACTAATAAAATAAGTCAATATCAGACCATTAAATAAGCAGGTAAACATTCCTATATTATTTTATTATTTCTATATTGGTACAAAATTCAATTGAATGTTATTTTGGTCTTTGAGATCAAAATACTATATAACATTTATATATGATACAATTTATTTAAGATTAAACTATTGGACATGTTATTTTCTTTATCCAAATTGAGACTTTAATATGTACGACACAATATAAAAATGCTATAAGAATCACAGTGGTCATAATGTCCCCAATAATGCACATTTAAAAATTTTTTAATATTGTAAAAAAAAAACTGCAATAAATTATTAGTTTAAAAATGTTTACAATTTTATTTATGAAAGACAACCGGTTTTACTCTTAGTTTAATAAATGTACACGATACAAAACTAATTTATGAGATTTTGAAAAATTAAACTTATCAACTGATACCTAAAATACATATTACAATAAAACATAATCAAAAACAATAATTTAATTAATGATAATCAAAGTTACTTGAGGTACTTCTATTTGAAAAATATCAACTTTATCAAACTATGCAATTGAAAATGTAAATAATAAATAATAAATTTGAAATTAAATTGATATAGAACAAATTTAATGTTCTGAGCATAAAGTGAGCACGATTTTACAATATTAATTAAACCTAATAGTATTTTAAATTTAAAAAAAAAAAATCATAAAAATACAATAATATTTATGGTTGTTAAAATATACTTAATTATAATATGAAAACAATTAATTCTTATAACTTTGATGATACAAAACTAATTTATGAGATATTGAAAAATTAAACTTATCAACTGATACCTAAAATACATATTACAATAAAACATAATCAAAAACAATAATTTAATTAATGATAATCAGAGTTACTTGAGGTACTTCTATTTGAAAAATATCAACTTTATCAAACTATGCAATTGAAAATGTATAATTATTATTATTTTCTAAGGAATTATACTTGGCTATTAAAATAATAAATAATAAATTTGAAATTAAATTGATATAGAACAAATTTAATGTTCTGAGCATAAAGTGAGCACGATTTTACAATATTAATTAAACCTAATAGTATTTTAAGTTTAAAAAAAAAAAATCATAAAAATACAATATTTATGCTTGTTAAAATATACTTAATTATAATATGAACAAAATTAATTCTTATAACTTTAAATATAAATCACAAATCGGGTATAAGTAATTGGAAAAACAAACAAAAGGCAAATAATAAAATATTGATTTTAAAATGAGCATTGAATACTCATGACTTAATTTTTCAAAAATTACCTTGATAATTATTACTATTAAAATTAAAATGTTTTATCTAGTAAATGCAAATGTAATGAATTAAATAAAATAAGTAAAATAAAAATAGTTATTAAAAAAAATTTCCAATTATACATTGTTTAGATCCTAGAGAATCACGAGTTCAAAAGCAGCAGTTTCTTTTGTCTTGTGGAAATCATCTTTGATATGATTTATACGTGAAATTTAAGCCTAAACAAAAAAAAAATCCACTACATTATTATAATATAAAATGTAAAATCATTTTAGTTCAACGTATACAAACGTTACAGGCAAACAGTAAAATTTTGCAATGAAACTTGCAGTTAACAAAAGTATCCACCCATCTAAAATTATATATTTATATCTTTTTCATAGTATGTAACACTGCGTGGTGTTACATACTGCTTACGGGGTGTTTATTATGCATAGTTATATTTTTTTCCCACTACTTTTGATTTAATTGTATTAAGTGTTAAAAGTTAGATTGAGTGAGATGTGACAGAAGGGTATTTTTTTAAATTTGAACACCCCTAAATAAGGTCTAAAGGATGCAATTGTATATATGCAAAGTGTATCATAATAATTTATTTTGGGGTTATAACTTAAAACCCCTTTATAATTTTAGATCCTAATTAAAGTAAGGAGTGTATTGGTTTTACGGGGATGTTTATTATTTTTATATCCAAACAAACAACTTATGAATTCTGTCAAGCTGTTGGAGATATACCCCACTTTTAAGTATGAGTTGGAGGAGAGTAGTAGTGCATTATTAAGACTCTGAACCGTCACACAAATGATAATACTCCACTAATCTCCAACCCAACTTTAAAAGTGAAATTTCACGCACTCTGTGCATCTTTTAAAATGGGTAAGTACTTTGATCTACTGCATGAAAAATAGGTGTATTTTACTCAGCAAAAAATGTTTAACTAAAAAAAAATAAAAAAAACTAAATAAATAACTGAATGCGTCGCCCGGAATATTAAGATATGTTTATTGTACAATCAAGAAAAAAAACATACAAAGAAATATAGTGAAGAATTAAATATTTCTGAAAATTTATTTGAAAGTACCATTTAATGAATAAGCTGCATTGTTAAAAGTAGCTAGGTACAATGAGAAAAATGTAGAACGTTTTTACTAACTGAAAATGTTTTTAGAGAAAAAAACTAATTTTTTTCGTTGCAACACTCAAAAATTAAAATAAAGTTAACATTTTATTTTACGGGCTTTTGCCTAACATTTGTTTTCTCCGTTTGTTAAGAGCGTCATTTCAGATTTTGAACAGGGATGCAAAGATTTGAATCGGGTCAATTTTTCTGAATCATTTTCTGTTCAATTTGCTTGCTTATATTTATATAAGCTGTTTTACACTCCTGTTTTACATTTTAATATTCAAATACTGGATTTGTTGACATACTATAGTAACGATTAACATTGATATTATACTACGGCCATAGTTTATTTTTTCATGAAATACTTAACTCACGTCACCATGTGACATCAATTTCAACGCATACTCGTATCTTGCTAACATACCTGTTTATTTAGCCATAATAACAATTAACAGTTAACAATTTTATTAATCGTAGTAAAAATCATTCTCATTCTCACATGTCAAATGGTCGGTAAAAAATTATCAGCAGAATTCATATTAAATACTTTTCTTTATAAAATATATAAGAGGTCCTAACTCTTTTGATTTAAACTCAACCCGAGAGTCATAATCGTGAAATTGAGAAATGCCTTTCTTACTATATTAAATGCGAGACTGACAGAAAACAAGTGTTGGTGACGAGAACTATTAACTATCAGTCTGCTAATTATGTTTGTTACACCGCTCCCCCCGCCTTTCACGAATAAATGTTTAGCGTCGAGGATTTTAATGTCAAGTTTGTAGTGGTTTCACCCAGAAGTAGTCAAACGGAGGTGACATAAAGAAGATAACCCCTCGATGCCTTCATTTTTCTTCTATATTGTAATATTATATTTATCATAGCATCATATTATCTAAAAGTTTATAAAAAAAAGATTTACCTAGTTAATAATAGCTGTTAAAAAATTATCCTTATCTCCTATTCCTCTCCCCGTGACAAAATAATTTGACGCTACTATTAATTCCACCATTAAACATAAGCGACATGAGCAACTTACAGAAGATTGATCATCCCCTTTATTTGTTATTTGTTTTAAATAAAAGAATATATAATAAAATAATAAAGTAAAAACAAAATTAATAAAATGGTTAATACTTGTAAATAAAAATGCATTAATTTATACACTTTTTATTTCTATATTTAAAATTATACAATATTATATTATGTATTATATCCATAGATTTATCATTGAAAGGCCTGATAATGAGAAATTGTTTAAAATTTGAAGGAAAAAAAACAAAAAAAAATTTGTGGCAGCGGTGGGATTCGAACCCACGCCTCCGAAGAGACTGGTGCCTTAAACCAGCGCCTTAGACCGCTCGGCCACGCTACCTTCGGTGAATATGATTGATTTATAGGGTTATTTATTACACCATTTTACATAAATATTTTCATAATATTGCTAAGACTAGGCATTTTAATTTCTATTTTTATAAGATATAATTTTTTTGACTCTAAATGACCGAAAAATTGATAAAGATTTTCATCATAGGTTGTTAATACTAATCAAAATAACTCGTAAAAATCACAATAATTTTTTTTTTATATAGGTATCTATTTTAGGTTTTTTTTATGTGTGTGTGAACTTTTTCTTCCAAAATTCTATCTCCCCAACTAAAACAGTGGCCGCACACGTCCCCAGTATTAGTTTTTTTTTTAAATTGATGTGAATAAAACTTTTTGCAAGAATTTTTGGATTGGTAACCATTTTTATTTATTTAAAAACAAGAAAAATTTAAATTAATTTATACCTAAAAATTAAAACCATCTTCAATATAAATTTAACAAATGTTAAAATGTTTAATTGAACTTCACTAAGAATACAGGTAGTTTTTTTTTTATGTGGTAGGTAATATCACGACAATTTTAACAAAATAAAAAATCTAATAATCCTAATACCTAGTTGGTTTTGTCCATTATGTGATCTCGCATTTTAACACCATTTATTATCATTGCATTTTTTATGTTTCACTAGAAGTCTCGATTGAAAACGTGATTTCAAAAGTCCGTACAACCCTTGAATGAAAAATGTATATTGAATATTCATTTAATCTATATGCAATATTTTCCATTATCATTTTTAAAAATTATTAAGGGAACTATATCAATTGGTGCGTGCCAAAGGGTAATATTAGTGCCATGATTTTCTGTCTTTATCTCACGCACGTGCAACATAAGAGTTTAGACGTGTTCTATTTCCAACGAACCAATTGGCAGTGAAGGAATAAGAGTTCTAAAAACATTAAAATTTGTCGTCAATTTCTCAATCAGATCAATCAAATTAACTTTCCCGCATGTTTGGTTTTACACCTATAAATCCAAAAAGAACTATAATAAAAAATGGAATATTTAAATTTTTGGAGAAATAAAACCTAAAAACAGAGCTGATATTGTTGTACTGTTCACTTTGTAGGTGGGAAGTTGGGAAGGTAACATATATACAAATTACTTAATTTATATCTGTAAGTAACGATAAACCATTGCTAAAGAAAAACGATTCGGAACGTAATTCGGTTTTACGTATTTTGAAAGGCCGTAATATTTACGATTTTCGTCAAAATGTGTTACTAAAATTCTAGTAAAAAGATTCTACATTATACTCAACTTTTTTTCTTTGGTGACAAAGTACGACTCATAATGAACCCCCTGTTACATTTCTGTTTGGTTTCACAATTTTATCCACAGAGTACCTACCGAATACAAATTAAGTAATTAACTCGAAAAATTAAAATGTTTACAGTTCAAAAATGGCTAAAATGTTTTGAAAATTTTACCGAGTCTTGAAAATACAAAAAATAGTTTTCTATCGAAGTTTCAAGTATCTACAAATATTTTAACTGAATCACAAAAAAAAAAAAAAAAAATTGAAAATAATTATATTAATTATTCGTAAATACTCCTGTTTTTTCCCAATTATTATGAAAACCGATTGGAAAATCAAAAGATGACCACCTCCTTAGAGAACCAACCAGGTAAAATTTCTTATCAGAAAATATACCTACTACACTTGATACATCGGAGCAAATTTTATTTTCAAAGAGTTATTCACGAATACAAATATAAACCGTGTCATAGCATAGTAAAACCAATAGTCAATAGATCCTTCGCTCCACCCCAAATCGAAAAAGTAGCAAACTCGATCTCACGTAGACATTGCGACAAATTAAAATTGTTTTCTGAATTCTTATAACTTCATAAGATCAATTAATACGTTGGAAATACAGCACGGCTAAATTCATATGTTGTAAAACTCACAGAAAATCATTGCTTCTAATCCCCTTGATATAAATATTATTATAACTAATAATAACAATGTTTAATTTGGTAAAAAACATACAATTTTTTTCTTGTCATTTATTCGCGCGGTATAATAACAAGACTATACTCGAATAGTTAATACTTATCATCGACGTAGATATTGTATATAAATCCATGAAAGAGCATAGCACCGGGTGGTTCGAGATCACCTAGAACATCGTCTATTTAGATCCCTATGGATCAATATTAGTTCCCGTGAAAACTATATATTCATGGGCAATATAAATCTTCATGAACGGCCACTTAGATCCAAAATCACCGGCCACCTAGATTCCTAAGATTTAAATAACACAAAAATGATCTAAATGGGGATCTAAATCTAACTGATCTACAACCCGATATCCATTTAGGAGAACAGGCATAGACAGTCAGGCATGTCGCACAAGAATGTCAATTATCACGATTTGAAAGAGGCATTGACGGGCTCCATAAATCCATTAGATCCACGCCTATGAACCAAAATTATACCCTATATAAATCGTAACGAAATGTGAATTTTTTTGTGTTATTTTTATTATTATTAAATTATTTTTATTTTTGCTATTTATTCATTATTCATTATTCATTATATTATGTTATATATCCGATTGCCATATGAAAATAAAAAATAAAATAATTTATAGAAAAGAGGTAGGGCCGTTTTTACTGACTAAAATGACTTCACGGTCAACTCATTGTCAATTCAATATTTTCATAAAAAAATATTTTATTGATAAACAACACTCTTTACGTCGCATGTTTATATTTATGAAGCAAAAGATGTTTATATTTTATCATTTAATGTTAACACTTTTTCTACAAGAAAACTTTCTCCAATGTATACGATATAGACCCCTTTTCTGAAAAGAAGTTTTCTAGGTTTGGTACTTTAGGGAAGTCATTTCTCAATTTTCTTATCAAATGTGAAAAACCGAAAAATGAGTCAAACGATTAAACGGTTACAAGCTACGCTGCGTACGCTAGGGCTACTTTAACACGTGTATTTTAGCAGTTATTCAATTTTTTGGAAAATGTGTGTATTAATATTAGGTACGTAAATTTAAGAACTATACAATTTATGATGGGTCATGGTTCAAAATACATTAATAATCGCTTTACTACGCAGGCTTAAGTAGCAACCCTAGAGTACGCAGCGCAGCCTGTGACCGTTTAATCGTGCGACTTATTTCGGAACGTTTTTAGAAACGAAGGTTTGGTTTCCGTATTCTAATCTTCATGTTTACGGTCCTGTTTCATGTATTTATTCGATATCTACGTCGTTGATAAGTGATAACAATTTGAGTATGATTTTGCTATTATAAAGCTGGTCCCACACGACAGGTGTACTAGGCGAATATTTGTCATTGGTGAAATATGACCAACATTGGTCTTTACTCCCATACGACTGCTATGCACTTACAAATAGGAATTACCACTATCATTGCCCAGCACTGATATAAACTTATCATGATAAATATAAATTCTAATTTCTTAACTTCAATAAAATGTTTAACTTTTTTTCTTGCATGGTCTTGAAGTGGTATAATTCGACACTCCTTTCTACCAAAATAACATATCCTATACCGTGATTATGTAACTTGTATACTCGCGCGGACATTTAAACGCCAGTCATCTGGTGTTTAGGAGTAAATGCAAAGTTTAATGTAAACATTGGTGGTCCTTTGACTTGTGTCAGGTATATTAACAATCCACGGGTACGAGCCAAGGACCAACAATTGTACTTGTGAAGTTTCCCATATGACTGGCGCATTATCACCAGTGACAAATATTGGCCAAATACACCGGTCACATGGGACCGGCTTGTGTGATAAATAATAAATATTTTTTCCTTTTGGCCAAATCTCATCATTTATTTATCGTTTTAATAATGTAATTTTTGTAATTTTATATAGACCTAAAAAAATGATTTTGAATTATAAAATTAAGGGTTAATAGTGATTTAAGCGAATTTGCTTGATAACAAATACTACATTCGATTTTAAATAGACTTAATTCGGACACAAAAACGCTACATGGTAAAAATGAAATACATTTTTACTCACCATTCAAATAGTTAGTATAAATGCTCAGATTTTTTAAACCGTATTTTAAAAGATAAGGACAATTTTTTCAAGCTACCAACAATATATTTACTTATATAGAATACAAATATACACAAATTATAGATTGAAAAGAAAGGATCACACAAAAAAGTTTTCAAATGCCTTTAGTTCTACCAACAATACATTAATACGTTCTATGTAGTTAACATCTTAAGGCATCATTTCATTTGCTTCCCATGTGCGGATGATGCCTTATGGTGTCATTTATACAATTATTTTCAATTGGTTTTAATTTAGCCAGTGTTATGTTTCTTTTATCAGCGTTGTTCAGTCAGTGTATAATTCTGTACATATGTGTAAAATTTGTATCTCAAATTTTCAACATTGACGTCATAAAAAAAATTATAATTTTAACCAGCATCGGGGTATAGGTATAAAAAAATGATCAGCAGTGAACGTGTTAAGTTTAGAGTAGAAACTCATAAAATGTTCAGATTTAAATTTTGTTCACAATTAAGCAGATGCACAACTTGAAAATTATAAATTTATTAGAAATAATTTTTTGTTTATCACCAATTAAAAGAGAAATTTGTAAAGTACTTAGCAGGTTTTTTACATTATACAAACTTATTTTGAATTAAACATGAATACTTACAATTCTAAATTTATATTTTTGAATTGGTCAAATAAGGTGACATGCAAGACTTGATTCTGACGATTCTAAAAGGACAAATATATATATAAATATATTTATTTATACTAAATAGGTAGTGATTATGTTTTTAACTATTAACTAATATAACTCACCAGCATTAAATTTATGTTTATATTAGCTTTCAAAATTTCATTATTACTAATGATATTAAAAAAAGCATCTGTAACATTTCTTGCAATTGTACCAAGCATGTTGAAGTCAGTCAGACAACACTGAATTGCCTGGCATGTTAAATTACAAAAGTCTTTTTTCAGAAATCTCAGATTTTCCTTTAGTATATAATCCACAGTACCAAAGTCAACTTGAATTACCTGAAAAATGTTGTTTATAAAATATAACAATATGTAATTCACAATATTAAAAAAAAAAAATTACTAGGACAATTGTTGAATTAACTTCACGTAAAATTTTAACTCTACGCCATTTGTTTTCATCTACACATTCAGTATAAAAAGTACAATAACAGGAACCAACTAAAACTTGCTGTGATTGAACACAGTATTTTGTATTTTCTTCGTCATAAAAAATTCTAAAAAAATGTAAACTACAATAGTACAACTAATTAAAAACATATACAACGTGTCCCATAAACATTTAACAAATGCAATAAGTTTCATTCAATTATTAAAGCCATGCATTATTATTCTTCTGTTATTATTATAATTTTTTAATTAAAAATAAAATTTTTTTGTTTTTAAAAAATTCAATATAGCCATTTTATAAATATATTTTGAAACACAATTTTGGTGTTACAAATATTTTCTATGAATCATTATGTTTCTAAAACCTTTCAAAGTTCATTTATACAATTATTTTTCATAGAAAAATTGCTGAATCGATTGATATTATTTAGTAGTGGTAATGTAAACAATTTAAATTATCTTAAATTTTAAACTAAATTTTATTCACACATTTTTCCATGAAAAACTTCACGAAAACTTCAAACAATTTCAGAAACTTAACAAAAAACATTATGAAATATTTGTAACACCAACATTTTATTTCAAAATTCATTAATACATGCATAAATAAATAACTACAAAATTATCTTGATTATCTTTGATTTTATAAAAAACTTGAATGTTTAAATTTAGAGTGTGCCGAAGAATCTATTGGTTTTACTATGATAAGAATTTTTTTTTTCTATCTGTAAACAATTTTTCGAAAAGAAATATTTTGCACATGTATAGAATGTAGCACATTTTCGGAAATAAAATTGCACCTAATTGGTGCATTAGATTTCATTTTCCAAGCAGTTTTCATAATAACCAGAAAAAACATCTCTACAAATCGGTGTTTGTTAGTAATGATTTATCATTAAACAGCAAATTAAGTTTTCTATCAACATGTCAAGCCTTTATGAATATATTAAACTATATTACACCTAAAAAATAAAATTGAAAATAATAAAAGAATTATTTTTGTTTATTTATTATTAAATTAATTATTTTATAATTATTTACCTTTACTTTTTGCATTTTTTTTTTCGTTTTGCTCAGCTATTAGAACAACTACAAAGAAAATCACAAAACAACTTTCTTGTTCATCAACTAGATTAAAAATCTAACAAAAAAGTTACATTTCTGGTAGAAAATATAAGCCGTACAAATTTAAAATAATGAAATCGAAACAACAATAAAAAAAAAAAAACAGCATATCATAGTAAAACCGATACATCACTACGCTCCGAATCTAAAAGAGTAAATTAACATTTCAGAGCTATTAATTTCTTAAATGTTCTGAATAGCAGATTCTGAAAAAAGTTAATACTTTCCATGATAATAAATCTTACATTATATTGGTAACCCTGTACATAAAATGGAAGAATAAAAAAATCACAAAATATAATTTACTTACTGCATTTTCTTCATTAAAAAATTTAATTTCTGCTTTTCACTACATAGTTGCACATAAAATAAACTTGGGTCATATGCTTCAGATACTAAGCACACTATTGATTTGGTATTATGGATGATAATCGTCTGGTGTATGTTTAAAGAAATAAGCTGTTTAATATTTGAATATACATCAGAAATAATAGGCTCCTAAAATATAGCAAATCAAATTAATTATTATTACTATACAACACTTGTACATATTTTAACTATCTAACACTGCAGATTATGTACAAGTCCACAATAAATTTACAGACCACATTAGAAATATAATTTTTTTTTTTTAATATCATTAGTGTAAATTTACTTAAATTAACTTTATCAACAAACACAAATTATAAGATAATAAATTCAAAACAAATTGTAGTCTAACATTAAGTTTATTATTTATAACGAGTATGATATTATAATTATTAGTTAATTAATTTACTTTTATTTTTATTCAGATTTATATATTATTTAATCAGACTAATGTGGTATATAAATTTGTTACTATAAATGTAAGCAATAATTTATATTTTAAGTTTTTTTAACAAAATAATAAATTATACTTGAGCGTATAAAAATGTCTTTGCATAATTAGACTTTTCAATTTTATATTGTTTTGATATGTATTTAAAGGAAATCTTTTTGTACAATGTATTATTCCGTATTTCAAAAATTTGATCAAAATTCTTAAAAAATTCCAAGATTGAATTACAACCAAAATATTCTAAGTCCAATAAAATGTGGAACATTTTCTAAAAATTATAAAAATAAATGTATTATTAAAGTAACTAATTTATATTTAATTTATTTGACTTACAATATAATTGAATTCAAACAAAACAAAACTCATAATGTCTTTGTAGCCTTTGAATACCATTGCAATTTTTACTAGAATGTCTTTTGGAATCAGCTGAAGTTGGATATTTGCTTCATTAGATTGAACAGCTAAATATAATATTTTAACTCAATTTTATTAGTTTATAATATTGTAATATTATTATAAATAATATAAAATCAGAGCTGATACTGAGGATGAGTGCGCCATTTTTGTAAGTGGGAAGTCAAGAAGGTAGGACAGTAATATTTAAGATTTTTGTCAAAATTTGACTTTAAAACTTGTAAAAACAAATATATATTACATTAATTAATCTTTTTTGTCCTATGAGAAAAACTTAAAATGAAAACCTCCAGTTAAATTTTCAAGCATTTCTTGTTTAGCCTAACAATATTATCAACAGAGTACCTGCCAAATAAAAGTTATGTAAAAACTCAAAATGTCTATAAAACAGTTAAAAAATGATTTTTGTGATCAAATGTTTTAAAAACTATACCACGTCTAGAAAAAGTAAATGTAAATTTTCTATAAAAATTTAAAGTCTCTGCGAATATTATTAGCTGAATTACCACAAAAAAAAAAAAAACAATATTGAAAATAATAAAAGCACTATTTTTGTGAAATTTCCTGGTCTTTCGACATTTTTTTTTTTGTTGGTTTGGCTCAATTATTAACAAAATAGGGAAAATCAAAAATGTAAATATAAAAGTAAAAGAACATAAAGGAATGATTTCTTTCTTCACAAACTAAATTCAAAATTCAACAAAAAAGATTTCTTGCTATTTTTCTATTGGAACAATATTTCTTTTAAAAAACAAGCCGTAAATTTAAAAGAATGAAATTGTAGGCGGTTAAACTTGTTTGTTTTTCATATTTTATATATCTTTTTTTGGGAGATTTTCCAATTATTATGAAAATTATTGGGAAAATAAAAAAAAAAAAGTTTTAAGTTAAAAATCTAGTTCGTGAGAACTAGATTCATAATGCAACAAAAAAAGACCTCTTGCCATTTTTCTAATGGAACAGTATTTCTGATGGAAAACCATGATTCATGTAAATTAAAAACAATGAAATTGGAAATTCAGCATTATCCAGTTATTCCCAATTATTTTGTAAACCTCTTGGAAAATGAAGCACTAATGTACCAACTAAGTACAATTTTATTTTAGTTAAAGTGCTAGACTCTATACATTGAATCAAGATAGAAGTTTAATAATAATAATAAAAAAAAAAAAAAAAGTTAACAGTAAAACTAATAGACTCCTAAATTACATCCTATGTTATTTAATTGAACAGTGATATCTACAGAGTTAAATATTACTTAATTATAAATATCAATAAACACAATTTCAATAAAGTCACACATCAAGTACATATTTCTATAAGACCACATGAAGTCTTCTAAAGTTTCTAGGGATATGGCCAGTATGGGTATAATGACCATTAACTTCATCTCCCTTCTTACCATAGAGTATTTTTATATCCACTCTTCGCTCAGTATTTTATTGAAAATAAACTTTGATTTTAATGTATTTTTTTTAATATTAAATTTGTTTTGCCATAACTCTTTTTACTAATTTAATATGCAATAGCCAGCATTTAAAATTCAGGGTGAAATATTGTAAATAACAAATGATGCGAATAAACAGTTGTAGTAGTTACTTTTCTTATATAGATAACATATGATACAAATTCCATATTTTCAAATTAGTCTTTGTTAGTAATACCAATTGACTTTAAAATAATCTTCAAGACATATTAGTTATCTTATATTAATGTAATATAAAAATTAAAACCTAAAATTTAAAATAGTAAACTAATTAATAAAATAATTACTCACAATAATCAAGATGTTCTATTTTCGGAGTAGAATCAGCAGGTTCAATAATTTCTGATTTGTATATAGTAGTCAAGTCACGCACCTTAAAATATAGTAATTATTTATTGAAACAGTAGAATCAAGTCATTTAAGAATACTCAATTACATTTGATTATAATAATGATATACATGTGTACAAATTAATAAGAAATTATATTATTTTACATAATATACAGAATTTACAAAATGATTTAAAATCGGAATACGTTTTAAAGTTAGCATTTCAAAAAATACACAACTAAATTATTATAAAAATATCTATAGATTTGTCTCTGAAATAGTAAAAGTTTTAAATATTGTATATATTATAAAGAGTAATTTTTTTTATCATGAACCAGTAATTATCTGAAAGGGTTTTAAGTGAATTTAATTTCTGTTTTTTATAATCATTATGGAATCATTTAAGATCTATTTTAAATCCATTTTTAATTGTTTACTACATATATCTTCAATAAGTGCATACTTTTGATTTTCAAATAGGAACCCCCCTTTTGAACACAGATTTGAATAGAGAATATTTTTCTAGAAATTCTGATATAAATCACACTAATATCAGATTTACCATTTATGAGTTATAAAAGTTTAAAGTTTAGATAGAAGGAGTAAGGAAGGGTAATAAATTGCCTATCTATGACCCTTCTCCACTCCTCTGGTCTAAACTTTAAACTGTTATAACTCATAAACGGTAAATCTGATATTAGTATTATGCATACCAAAATTTCTAGAATAATATTCTTTATTCAAATCAGTGATCCAATAGACCGGGGGGGGGGATTTCCATTGTAAAATCAAAAGTAAGCATTTATTTAAGGTATATGGAGTAGAGGTAAAAAATGAATAATGATTTTAAAATAAAACTTAAACGACTCCATAATGATTAGAAAAAACAGAAATCAAATTCACTTAAAACCCTTTGAGATAATTACTGGTTCATGATAAAAAATCACTATGTATTATACACTCATGCATTATACAGCCCGAAACATTAAGATCTAACACTTTAAATAACTTATGATCTGTTCAATATTTGTATTTTTTTCTTGTAATTATTACTATAGCCTTACACTAAAAGTCCTCTATTATATATATATATATAGTTTAACAACTCAAAATAAAATATTGTTTTTACATAATCTAAGTTATATATTTTATAAATATATTTCAAAACAAAATTCTTATGTTATAAATAATAACTTAAAAGAATTATCAATTCTCTAAAATTTGTTCAAGTTTATGATAATTTACATTGTACTAAATAATATCAATCGATTTAACAATTTTTTCATGAATACCAAATCATTAATAATGATATTTATTTACTTCAAAAATTGTAGAAACTATTTATCATATGTAAATATTTGTAACATCAAAATATATTTATAAAATGGCTGTTTTAGATTTTGTAAAAACTTTTTTTTATGCAATTTAAATTTTTTATTTTAATAAAAAATAATATAAAATAAAGGGAACATAAAAGCTTGAGAAATTATTACAAGAAAAAACCTTAATAATATTGAACATAACAAAAATTATTTCAGTTATTATATATTTGAATTACAAACTGTATAGTGTATATATTATATTTTATTTTAACACCTACAATTTGATTTTATATATTTATTAAAAAAGATTACTTTTATTACACAGTATATAAGTATACAAAATATCATGTTTATAACCTTAATGAATTATTTATAACATTTTTTAAATAATTAGAAATGTTTTTTTATATTTTGTTATCAGTAAACAATACAATTTCCAGATCTGTAGGAATTCGCAAAACTTACTTAGGTCAAGATCACATCTCAGAAAAGGGTGCAAAATTTAGAATTTACAATATAAATGAAAATTAATAAAATTAGGTTACAAGAGTAGAAACTTTTGTGTGGCCTTGTTACATCCCTGGAAGTCTCAGACATAATGTAATTATTATCATTAATAAAAATCAAGCTGCTTTAAAGGGTAGAAAATATTTGCAATAATTGTGAGCATCCTATACAATATTAGGAAGTATTGTAAATACAAATTCCGTTTAATATGATTAATGGTTTATAGAATCAACCGTTTATTGGAATCAAAAATGAAAATCCTAAACCAAATTGTATGTTACTAATGTTAAATTAACCTTTTACTTGAATCACTATGTACTGGATAATTGAATCACTTATATGAACATTATTATCCTTTTATGGTATTATAGGTTTTTATTAGTTATATGTAGTTTTTTACTGAATGTTCCAAAAGTTACAGGTACAATATATATATATAGATTATTATGTATTTAATTTTAATTACATGTATATTAATTAAATATGGATTTAAATTTCAGGCCAATATGAAAATGAAATAAGTATATTCTCAAAAAGAATCAAAAATAGATACTTAGCTTCTTTATTGTATTTTATATTAAGTTTACATATAAATATAAAACCATAAAAAAAATTGTTTTGTGGAATCAATCGGTTAATAGAATCAAAATGACCTGAACCAATGTGATCACATTAAATGGAATTCACTGTAGTTAAAACTGAATTTGATTGTTTTGCATGCAAAAGTCAATCAAAACACTTAAACAGATTTACAGAATAACTAAAACATAATGAACACACTTTGTTGATATGAGTTTAATATTTTTTACTTACATTAACTGATCTATTATGAGATTTAGTTCCATTTGAGGTTTTTGTTTCAAAATATCTATCTAGTTTAATTTCGTATTTTTTTTTTTTTTTTTACAAAATCAATTTTATTTTTAATTTAAACTATGGCGTTTTTGTTCTCATTTAAAACATAATATTGTAATCTGAACATACTTACATTTAGTTTAGTTTTACAGCTATTTAAAAATTTGTCTTCTCTTATTGTAGATCCATTTGTTATATTAGTTGTTTCATTGTCACTATTATAAATAATATTAGTTTCATTATTATTGCAGTAAAACTTCCTTATAACAGAATCTGATACCAACTGACTTTTCCGTTATAATGGAATTTTCGTTATAGGGAGACCAAAATATATGGAATATAGGTTATGCAGAACTTGTTTAAGATTTCCTAGAGCTGGTGGTATTTTAAATACACATACCAAATACCAATGAGTCATATTCCGCCAGCTCTAAGATTTTTGCTATATAGGGTATACGTTATAGGGAGGTTTTACTGTACATGGTTTAAATATTAATTTGGTATTTATTAATAATTACATTTTCTTCAAAACAGATGCACATATTTTATCAACAGAGTGATCACCATTTTCAAATTGATTAGAATTATTTATGTCAGGTAGCATTAAAGATATATTTGGTACATCTGTAAATTAAAATTATAATGACAATTAACATGGTATTAATATAATAGACCAAATGTCATTAATATATAAAAACCTATTTTTTTAAAATCAATTTTTAATAAAAAAAAAAAAGGTATTTCAAGAAGCAAGGATTTTGTGTGGTTAATTTTAAATTCGAGCAATATATTATTAAAATTTAACAATTATTTAACATAATTTAAAAATAGTAAATTGTATACTTCATTAATATTTTAAGAAAATATAGTTTCTAATACAACCAAAAAATATAACAATGGTAACTTCTAGTTTTATCTCCCATTTTAATTATATTTACATTTTTTTTAAATTTATTTATGTAACCTGAAGATGGTTTAGACTGAAACTAGTAGTTATCCTTACCGTTGTTATATTATGTCGTTATACTTTTTGATTAAATTAATAATTTTATATTTTCTTAATATTTTAATATAACTTTTAAAACTTGTAGTTCTGTACAATACATTACAAATCATTAGAAAAACCTAAATCATTACATCAATGACATATAAATCTGTAGTTACCCACAGAAAATATTTAGATTTCAAATTCAAAAAAAATTCTTGAAGTTTTTTCAATACAGATTTTATACATCAGTAATTTGAAATCATATTTAAAGTATGAAAATAAAAATCAGCAAATATTAAATTATTTATACCTGAAGTATGGTTGCTTAGGACGCTATCCTCATTAGTTCTAATATTTTGAGAGCGGCTATAAGAATTATAAGGCCTTAGAGTGTCATTTTGATTTGAATCATTTATATTAACATCACTATCGCTATTACTGTTTTTAGGTAATATTTTCTTTCTGTGATTATTGTAATAAGTGGCACATTTCACGACGACAGGTTTACTACTGTCTGTACTGTCATTACTACTGTAATGGGAATTTCTTACATTTTCTGAGGTTCTTGAATTTTTATGTTTAACAGATTTTTTTTGCTTTGCAATAAGCTGTATTAAGTGTTTAGATTTAGTATCATGAATAAGAGTTATTCTGGAATATTTGTTTGGCATTGTGGGTATCTGCAAATTGAATTAACTAGAAATTAGTAAATGATTTGTATTGAAATTATAGATAATAGATTGAAATTATAGATAATAGATTAAAACAAAAGAGACATAGCTAAAGCATTGAAACAGTTAATAAAAAAAAACCTGAGAAAAACTTACAGCGAAAATATCATTGAAATTTTGAAGAAGTTCAAATATCGAATTGAAACCAAACTGACGGTAGGGTATAGTATGTCCTTCAAGATTAATGTAGTCTTCTTGAAGTTGTTCGATAGTTGGTTTTATAGGCGAGCTTATTAAAATACTTTGTAAATTTTGTTTAAGTTTAATTATCTCGTCCATTTTACTCTCCATAATTATCTGCCTATATAATATAAATATGTTTTAAAAATTAAATAATGGCAATACAACTTTATTACAAAATAGTATATTTACAAAAACTATTGTACTTCACTTGTGTCGTGTAAAATAACAAAATTAGTCGGATAGTAAGGATAGTATGATTACTGTGAACAAAGCCAAAACAATAGCCAAAATTAAGTATTAGCAATTATCATAGAATAGTAGCTAGGTAAGTGTAATAAATTTGAATCACCAACTGAATTGAATAAACGATTAACGAATACTGATTACTGATACTGACTAGTAATTACCAAAGAAAAGGAAAGATTCTTACAAAATACTGATCAGTGATTAATGGTAGAAGTTTTTCATTAAAACACAAATTAAACCATAAAGCAACACTAACACAATACCACATGTAACTGTAATAACGGCATGACGCCTCACGTAATCAGTAGTCACACCGGACGCATGCACATCGCCAAATCAGAGATCCTACAAGTTTTTCCGGATTGGTGATAACAAAAACAAAACAAATATTACCAACCAAAGGTAGTTAAGAATGAACAGGCTGTGTTCCTAAAGTACCGAAAATCAGCTGCTGGGAAACAGCTCTCGTCAGAATCCGTGTGTTCCTGTATCCAGCAGATTGGTCAGCCACTAAATTTAACTATTCCTAAAATCAGTAGTTGCTGACCAATCCGTTTGAGGGGCAGTGATCAGTTGGATTGAGCCTATAATATTTGTTCCACAATGATTTTGGAATATATAGTCATTGGAACAAATGATTTTGGAAAAAGTGTTCAAATATTTGTTCTATAGTATATTTGCACCACAAACCATTTGTTAACATTAACATTTAGTCCGATAAACATTTCTTCCATAAAACGTTTGTTCAACGAACTCATTGAAGACTTCGCTGGGAAAAAAGCTAAACAAATTGGAAACTAAATACGATTAATGTCATGTACATATTAACACATATTATAAATATTATTACGTCACTTAAGATTAATACGAGTAGCTTATGTACCTATTATATATTTATACTTTAAAAAGTATTGATTTAAACAAGCGTCACTAATTTTAAAAATGTTTACCTTTGAGTTATTATTATAATTTATAGATCGTAAAGGTGCATTTTGAAGTTTCGCACCGGGCGCAATATTTTGTTGTCACTGCCCTGCGTCTCCATCTGCATTGCAACGATGAAAAATTCAAGCAATACATTCGGTTAACACCGTTGCTGTTTGATTATGCACTGAATTACATGAGACCTGACCTAACTTCTAAACCGTATAACGGGCACAAAAAGCCCATGGGTCCAGAAAACACTCATTATGTAAAACTTCACCGCTACACGTGAAAAAACGTTCGGAAACGTAAAACGGAAAAAGTATTTTGGGTGTACCTAGAGACCCATTGTTTTCACTACATGATGTAGTAACTTTTCTCTGTTACATACCCGACACGGTTTTGCAAAAGTCGAGGGTTATTTTCGATTAAAATTGTTCGAGTGAGCGCAGCAAAATATGATATGTTTGAACATCTGTAACTCTAAAAAAAACTAAGCCAGATAGACTTATTCTGACCTTAATAAAAACTTTATTATTTAAACATCAATAGCTACAAATAATAACATTAAAAAAAAATGTCTATTTTTGACCACGTGTTGGATCAATTCCATAAATGCTATTTTTTAAAGTTTATATGCAAAAACTTTAAAAATAAGTATGATTATACCAACTGATTAAGCATCTAAAAACACACATATTGAAAAAAAAAAATCCCAGAAAATCGCGCGATAGGTAAACTAGAATCATGCCGAACATATTATGTAAGTAGTTACTCAGCTGAACTAGATTCGTTTCATATATTCCAATAGGTATGTAATTAGATTGTATATGAAATATGTTCAGATATTACAGGAATTAATTACATATGTTTAAAAGTAAACTACTCTCATAAGTCATGACAATGTTTACATGAACGGGCAGCTAGTATATTACATATAAACTAGCTGTCCGCCCAGCGTTGCACGTGCCATCTTTTACCCATATTCCTTTTTGGTTTTGACCGTGCCAGTAATGAATAATAACAAATAAAAACAAATAGGCGGAAAGTGGGTAGTGCACTTTCGGCGGACTAATAGTTTTCTGTAATAACATTTTCTGCGTGAAAGGCAGAAAGGCAGAATTGTACTTCCGTGTATTATCGGGAAAAACTTTAGAATGATTGTGAAGCTGTCCCGCAAAGCGTTTTTTATTATTATTTTTTTTTTGTTTTGCTAAATTATTTGATGTACATATATGCGAAAATACTAAAATCTCGATTAAAAAAAATACAGGGTTGTTCTGCCATATATTTTTAATTGTTGTACTTACTGTCTTACTGAGGAAATTACATGAAGATAGTTTATAACATTACATTTTACTGCTTACAATAATATGGCACATAGATCTTTAGAATTATTTTTATTTATATTAATTACCAAAGATACGTTTTTGACCAAACTTTTACATTTTTTTCATTTCATCCGTGTAACTAAGGTAATCCATAAAAATAAATAATTTAATAATACCAAAACATCGAACTTAAGTACTGAAATCACAATTAAAAATGGTGGTTAGGGTGAAAAATACTATACGACCTACGAGAGTCTCATACCTACCAAATATACCAAAAAAATGTCATTAAAATCGGTCATGCCATTTCGGAGTAGTGAATATAATAATATTTTAAATCATGATCTAGACGAATCATTCACTATGAGTAATGAGAGGCGTGAATTCGCGTAATTGGTCATCGGTCCGAATCAAGGTTTATAGATATACTATCTGTTGTAGAATAATTACATTAATAACACGTATAACACAATAATATAAAATTAGATAATATTATATTATTTATGAAAATCAGATTCCGCGTAACCATGAACGTGGTAACACAATTAAAAAGTGATAAAATGTAACAGGTTCTTCCTTTGGATAGCTCACGAATGATGAGATAATAATCACGGTTCAAGATAATGTTAAATCGTGGTAACAATATACAAGATAACAAATGTATCAAAGATAACGGCATACAGGTTGAATCGTTTTGCTAAGTTAGATTCTATATTATATTCTGTGTTTACCATGTACTGTACATTATTTTGCACAATAATTATTTCATTCTATCCTAATTAGAAAAACACAATTAAATACATCTACATTTTCTTAGTTTGTATTCGTGGTTATAACTATAGGTTTAGTTATTCGATCTTATCTTTTAGGATTGAAATTTATGTTCAAAACGATGGGACGGAGGTACTTGTTCAAAAATGATAAGGGTTAAAAAAAATGATAAAAGTTCGAAATCTGGACAGTGTTGTTATCAATATTGTGACATTACGGTGGCAGTAGCCAGGAGGCAGAAATCGTCTATCGTGGCACTAGACTCTAAATATGAGTTAATAGAGTAGATCTTGTATAAACTGTGTACGTTTTAAACATTTTAAATTATATTTTTATTCAAAATTGGATACTATACAAAACAAACACATTTATCATGCCGTCTAACGATTGGAACGAAGTCAAATTATTAGCCGCTGACTTCCAACGGATTCAGTTAACCACTTCATCACAGAGGTATTTATTTATTTAGCGTATTTCTAAGCGTATAATCTATTGTTTTAGCAGACAAGATACGTAATCAAATTCATTATTTTTATTTATAAGGTTAGGGGAAAGAAATTGTGTGGAAATAGTAGCAAAATTAATCAGTACAGGTTTACTTGATGTAGTATTTACAACGGATGGTAAAGAATATGTAACTCCAGTACATTTGACCAAGGAATTAAAAGATGAAGCCTATATCCAAGGAGGTATACAAATAATGAATTTACTGTCAATTTCTTATCGAACAATATCAACCTTAGTTTTTAATTAATTATTATAGTACTTTTAATTTGAATTAAAATCTATAAGTAATGCAGTATCTTAATTAACTTAACTTTAATAAATCAGAATAAATGAAAAAAATATTTATAATATAAATACATACCTATTTGCAGTAAAATTACATTAAAAAAAGTATTAATTATATAAATAATATAATATAGTATATGTAATTATTGTGTTATTAATAATAATAAAATTATATTTTCAGGTCGTATTAACATTTTGGATGCTGCTAGGGCTTTAAAAGTTGATCCAGATGTTGCATCAAATTTATGTGAAAAATTAGCGAAGGAAGAATCTGAAGATTATTGTATTGTTCATGGCCAATTAATTGGTTTGACTTATTTAGATCAGATTGCTGAAGATGTAATTGATAAACTGGAACAATATGGACAAATAAATTCGTTAAAAATATCTCAACAATTTGATTTACCTGTAGACATAATTGATGCGGTATAAATTAAATTTTAATTAACTTATTTTTATTAAAGTGTAAAAAATAATCAATTTATGTTTTAGATGCTTGAAAAACGTAATACAAATTTAGGTTTTAATTTACACAAAAATAAAAACAATCCATATTTATATTATACAGATTCATATTTTATTTCTGTCAAGAGAATAGTCAGAGGAGCAATTTTAGCTATTACCAGGCCAATTTTATGTACAGCAATCATAAATCAATGTTCCATTGAAGAAAAAGAATTTTTTAGTGAGATTATTATTTATTTTTTTTACATATTACACTTTAACTAGGTATATAATACAATTTTTTTTTTTTTTTGGCAAGTCAATCATAAATTAATGTATGTGTGTGTCCTATATGCATTACTACACCATTTATTTGATCACCATGAAACTTTAGAAAGTTGTTAAGTACACTCCCGCAAAGGTTTCTATCATAGTATATCTGTAAAATTCTTTGATGGCCCCACTATCACCCACAAAATCCGGCTTTTAGGTACTTTTGGTGTGAATATACATTTTTTTATTTTATTTATGAATTACCTTTACAATACAGGTGGAAAAACAAATATTAGTTAACTAGGTTGAAATAAAAAATTGAAAATTGGCAGAGAGGACGCTGATGCAAAATAGTGTTATTCTGTAACACTATTTTTCATAAACAAGTGCCCATATCAATAAACTTTTATGAATGTTGTTGATGGTTGTAGTAAAAATTTTACTAAATATTAACATTTCAAAATAACCATTTTTATATTGTTATACAAATTAAAAGGTTTCAATGTTTAAAAGTGGATTTTAGATTCTGATTGTAGCGAAGAATATACTGGTTTTAAAAAGATGTTTATTTTTTTTATTTTTATATTTGTATACTATATACAAAAATTCTACCAGAACTTTTGTCCCAATCTATATGATGTAGACCTTTTTCTGAAAGGAAATTTTCTTGGGTTGGTTCTTTAGGGAGATCGTTTTTTGATTTTACAGAATAATGCTTTATTTTTTTTTCATTGTGTTATTTGTTGTAATTCAGTAAAAATATTTGTAGAGATTTGAAATTTGAACAGAAAACTTATAAATGCATTTTCTAGACGTGGTAAAATTTTCAAAACATTTAAACCATTTTAATTTTGCGAGTTTTATTCGGTAGTTACTCTGTGGTAAAATTGTAAGATTTAACAGAAATGCTTGACAATTTTAGAGGAGTTTAATTAAAAGTCTTACTTTAGGTAAAAAAAAAATTGGAGTTTAATGTAGTATTTTTTTTTTATATAGAAATTTTCATATCCAACTTTGACAAAAATTGTGTGGAACAAATCTAATTTTTTAATTTTTTGTTTTGGAAATAATATGTATATAACCAATTTAAAAATGATTGTGAGTAAGAATTTAACAGACTAAGTTTGGAATTTATAGCTTTTTTAAGTTCTGATATTATATGTTATGTTAAATAACTCTATATTGTCTACTTTAAAGTACTAGTAACCTTAGTACATCCTAGGGATCGTGAGTTCAGATCCCAGTTTTAAATCAAATTGTTTGCATTTATTTTTTTCCTTTTGCTTAAACAGAAAAAAAATCAAATTCATTTAAGTGTACCTAGAGACCCAACTATTGCTTGTTCGGACTATTTAAACTCGAAAAAACCCTCATTTTGTTGTGCGAACTTTTTTACCAGAAATTTTGCTCTGATTATTAAGTGTAGCACTTTTTCTGAAATTTTTCTGGGCAGGTCTTTAAGAAGGTTTTTTTTTTGATTTTTCCAAAAAAAATGGAAAAAAGGGGAGAGAAGAAAATAGGTACAATGTTAAATAAATATTATTAAAGAAAATTTTTGAATCCATATTTAATTATTTTACTATCATATGACATATATATTGTTGACAAAGTAACACTATCAATTGAACTCCGCTCAAGATCGTTTTTTCATTAGCAATGGTTTATCATTTCTTATAGATACAAATTAATTTTCCCTTTATTCCCCTACATTCTCTTTTCACCAACAACAATGGCTGCACCTATAGAGTAAATTATGACTTTTTAGTTTTATTATGTATATTGCATCCATTTCATGGTTTTTAATAATCAAACATTGTATGGCATATTGTTCAATTATATACTGAATAGTATATACAATTAATTACATAAGTAAATTAATAGTATATGGATAATATATTATATTAATTTTAAATCATATTTATATTTTGTTTAGCTGTATTTGAAAGTTTGGTAGCAGAAAAACAAATACCAGGAATATTGACAGATAGAGTAGGGAATTCGTGTACCTATGTTCCAAATATATACACCAAATCTCTAAACAATTGGGTCATCAATTTTTACTCAAATAACAAATACTTGGGTAAAAAAAAAAAAAAAAACAGTTTTTATAATATTTTTAACATTATTGAATATTTTTACTTGGCAAATACTTACAGATTATGAGGCAATGAATAATGTTGGAATAACCGATCCCATTTCGTATATATCACGCATACCACTTGGCAAAGAACTAATTGCATTGTCATCGTGCTCTATTGGACCTAAAATATTAAATGATATTTTAGCTGCTGTTGAGGAGTCCATTGCTAGTGGAACTTGGATTGATATTATGGTTTGGTTCACCCATTATTGTTTTTAAAACAAAATTCTAGTTTGGTTTTTAAATTTTAAACACAATATATTCTCCGTTAATTTAGGATTTTGTACCCATTGTTTTTGATACAAAAGACGGAATAATGATATTGGAATATTTGTTAAAAAAAAATAAATTTTCAAATAGTTATCAAATTTTTGATAATACTGTTTTAGTGACTGATAAATTTATTGAAATCCAATCTCAGCGTATAATCAGTATAATAGACACTAAAGTTAAAAAGGTATGTTAGATTTGAGCATATTTGAAGTATAGATATTTACAATTTGTTATGTGTTGATTTTAGATTGTTGAATCTGGAGAATATGCAGAGGCTTTAATAAATTGGAAAATTCAACAAAAATTTACTGAAGATAAAAATCCCGAACTCAGTCGTAAAGAAGAGCGTAAAAAAAAAACTGGAAAACATGGGGGAGGAACACAGGTTAACAATTTATAATATCAAAATATTTTGCCTACCAATTTTATTTTTCTATATTAATATTTCTATAAATTTTTTTATAGTAGATATCTAGATTTTTCTTAAACCTTATCTTATTTTCTAGATAGATATCAAAATTTATTTTTTATATGCAGGGCTCAGATTTTGTAGTATTTGCTAATTGTTGTTATTGGATAAATTAATAATAGTTGTATTTATTTTATGTATCATCGATTCCAAGTATAAAATGTATTTTTATAATTGAAGCATTTTAGATTTTCAGTGCTATATTTTATTGATGTAAATTATTTTATGTTTTTCATACATTTTATTAGAATTTTATTATTTTGAATGGTTATAATTCAATTGGCAGTCCTCATTTAATTTTATTTTTCTAATTTATTAATAAGAAAAATATAATGCCCAGTATGGAATAAGGCCCAACAACCAAATCCCTCTCCTAATTACCCAGTTGTACTGTTTTGTTTTAATCTAGTATAAATTAGTTGGCTAATAGACAATTTAATATTAGGGACGTGAAACTAAAATCAAAGCTGTTAAAAAAAAATATGGACACAAATCAAAACAAGATTCTGATTCTGATGACCTAGAAAATAAAACAGCCATAAATGAGCAACTCATGATGGATATAGTTAACGTCAATGAGATTAGAGAAAACTTAGAAACTGATGAATCATTTAAAGAAATTGATGAAGACAAGAGCCCATTGATAGAAAAAATTGTTTCATACCTTCATCCGTAATGCTAATAATTAGATTAATATGTATAAAAAAAAAAAAAAAAATTATATTCTATAACATTTCAGAATTTTAAACAAAGAAGCTCTGAGGAGAGCACAAGATATTTATGATCAAGTAATGGCAAACCGGATGGGTGATCGACGAAAAGTACATCAAGAATTTCGAGACAAACTATTATTGCTACTATTTGACTTTAATCAATACCTCAAAGGTATTCAAAAGTTTGATAACACTGATACACAAGTACAACTAACATCATTCTTGTTAAAATCTATTGGCGGTGAAATTATTGAAAATGTTAAGTCTTATATAGCCAAAAATAAAGAAAATGTGTCTGAGGTATTTGCCTTTTTATGGTGTTATAAAATAAATTATAACCTGTATAATTATTTTTAGTCTAAGTCTAATAAGTATGATAAACAAATTGAAGATGCAATTGAAAGACTACAAAAGTCATTAACATCAAAACAAATTGACGATTTTCTTGAAGCTGTTGATCAGTTATTGTCTTCTGTTGATGTAGTACAAAAAAAGCATGATCGAAAAAAAGAAAGGTTCTATCTATTAATCTATTTTGTACTACTGTTTAATTATTTAGAATACAAATATTAAATTATTATCTTAATAGTTTTACCCAATGTGGATTAATAATCAGTTATTATTTATCAGAGAACATTTACAAAATTATCGTCAACTACTAGTGAGATCATTGGACATTGAGGATGATGCCGCTCAAGTACTATTGATTGCAACACAAATACTTTTTCAATCAGTTACACAAACAATGATTAAAATATCGGGTAAATTTGTATCAGTTCTTCTCGGATTTTTACAAAAACATATAAATGAACAAGAACTGTCTGTTCTTCAAAATTATCATGGTATAGTTAATAATATTATAAATTATAATACTGTAAACTGTTAAAAATATTTTAAATACAATTATGTGTTTTAGATGCTGTTGTACAACTTTTGAAAACTGAGGATCCTGTAGAAAAAGAAAATATTAAATCAAAACTGAAAGAAACTACAGAAATTGTGAAAGACATTGTAAACAATTTTAAAAAGACGGGTTAATTATTAAAATAATGTATGAATTACATCATTATTTGAAATAGTAATTTTACTGCTATACTATGTATATTGTATGTACATTATAGTTTATACAATTACTGTATTTTATGTGTTTAAATTGATTATTATAAAAAATATTATATTGATATGTTTTTCAAAATTGTTTATTATTGTAAATGTTCAAAGAATTGACATTGAAAAATAAATTATTTGAGTAACCCCAAATAGTTGAGATGAAGGCAAACAAGAAGAAGAATTTGAGTGAATCTTGGGTTTTAACAGTAAGTTAGTTACTTTATAAAATGTATTTATATTCTCAAAACATAAAAAAATAATTAATAATTTGCACATTCTGAATTTGAGTGTATCATAAGAGAATGTTGAATCAATATAGAAACATAGGTGTATTTTTGTTTTGTTTTATTATAATAACAATATACAATAAATGAACGCTAACTATAAAGAATTCGGTGTATTGCCTATAAGGTTTTTGTATAAAAAAATTGCAATTATGTATTTGTTTAAGAAATTAAATTTAAATAACAATCGAAAGGAGGTAAGCAACAAAAGGGAAATGAAAAATATGATTTGACTATTAAATACTTTTTTTGGTCAGTGTTTTGTAGATTATCAGGGTCCAATTTCTTTCAACTCTATGCCCTGATTTAAAAAAAAATACTTGGTAGTGAAATTGTAAATATTAAAGATCTAACATTCAAGTATTTATTCTTTGAATTAGACAAGGATTTACAGTAATATAACCCAATTTTATTTCATTATTTTTTATTTATTGTACCTATACCTATAGCACATATTTTTGATTTGTTTTTATTTATTTATTTGCCTTTAACATAGTTATTTAGAAAAAATCAAGTTTTTATATGTTTAGAGTTGTTTCAAGATGTATTTAAAAATTTTTTTTTTAAATTGAAATATATTTACACTGTTCTTATTTATTATAAATATATATATAGATTTAGTAATAATCATAGCTGTTTATTTCCAACACAAGCTGCATACGCTTACAGGAGGTAAGTTAATCAATCCTGTAACAAATTTACTTTTGATGTATATTAAATGTTTTGTTTTTGACATCTTAAAAAAAAAAATATAATAATAAAAATTTGGTTGATACAATATATTAGAGAATTTACATTTCATTTCATTTAGATGAAAAATATAACATTTCTTATGACAATGGAAACTTATCTTTCTATTTTGATATTAGATTCTAATCATAAACTATTCAATGACTTATTAATTTGTAAAATGTTCTTAAATTTACTCACTTGAGATTATAGACTATATTTAATCATTCCTTAGGTTTATAAGATTACGTTAAAGTGTGAGAATTCAATGCTAAAATAAAATATAAATCTGAATTATTGATTTTTTGAATTCCTTTACTAGTTAAAATGGATAATTGTATATTTACTTATTGTATTTATTAATTTTATAATATGATGATTTGGGACCTTAGGTTTCATAAAATAATATATATTCCCTCTAATGACATATATGCACCTAACTTAGTAGTAAATGGCAACACAATTTTTTTTTTACTTCTATTAATGACAATAACTTCATATTAAATTTTGAATTATAATGTCAATATATTTTTGTTTAATAAAATTAAATGCTAAGGGCTATAAACCTTTAAAACTGTTAAGCTAACAAAGGTTCAAATAATTTTAAATGTCAATGAATATTATACTTTCAAAAATGTACAAACATATTTTTATTTTAAATAGTATGTGTATAAATATCAGTATTTGTATATAGTTCAGTATTTATATTTGAATACATAGGAAATATTTATTTATATATTATAAATATTTTATTGAAATTGGAAATAAAAATAATTAAATGTCACTCAGCTCAGATCAGTTAGATATAACTTTTGAAGAGCCACAATTTTTGTAATCATGTAAGCTAATATTGCACTCAATGTTCTAATGTGCTATGCAACAAATCATCTAATTTCTACTTCTAATTTAAATTAAAATAAGCAGTTAAAACAAAGATAATTTTATATTATAGACTCCAACAAATTGTTAGCACACTTATATAAATGGAAGTAATCCAATAAAGCAGAATGAAAAAAAGTACATGGAAATTAAATTTTTTATAGTTTTATTCAGATTGTATATTGACCACACTGAATTATTCATACATAAATGAAAGAAAGTCACCTGAATCACATTTACGTGTTATGCCAATAATGAAAAAATTATTTAAAAAAACAAGTAGGTAGGTAAACTTATAATATAATTTTTTACAAAAAGAATAAAATAATAATTACAAAAATTTGTAGAATAAATGTTAAATGTCTATGATTACAATATAATATAGGGTCATTACTCATTAATGATTATTAGATTTTTATAAACGAAGAAGATATTTCTACTGTAATATTCTTAAATTTAGGCACCTACTTCACCCACTGGAAAATATTAATAATAATATAATAGCAATAATATTATGAACTTCAAAGGAAAAATGCACATCAATATTAGACTATTAACTAATTACAATACTTATATGAAATGGGAACAATTATTCTCACTGAGAAACAATACGATGGAAATGCTTCATTGTTTTGAAAATGTTTACATGTCTTCACTTTCCAACTTAATTTTTGAAAAATCAAATTCTTCTCCGGTTGCTCGTTTGTAAATATCCAAAACGTCCAAACAAGTAGTCTCAAAATGCGATGTGGCATCATACGACTTTGAAATAAACACCTTACTATCTTTTCCGTCATCAATAGGTTCATAGTAATCAGAAATGTATATGAATTTCTGTTTAATGGGTCCTAACAAATCTAAACCGGGTTTGATCTCCAATTCTGCATTACTTGTTTCTACCTTAGTAGACACCATAGCGATAAACCATCCTTGAGCAGAAACTTGGTGTGTGTTACTCACTAATGAAACGTATATATCTGATTTACGATTGACCTGATTCTGCGGTATAATAATCTGAGTTGATAATGCGTCACGAGTATTTGGTATTGGATGGTTTAACAAGCATATACAACGAATTACTTGTCCCGTTTTTTTAATACGGTCTTTGACATAAGACGGATCGCAGAATACTTGTTTACATTTTGCTACGACACCTTCACTTTTAATGCCAACAACACTCGATCCTTCAAAAACAATTTCATCAACAGGAGTGTTCAACATATAAGTTCCACCATAGATGGCACTGAGACGAGCGAAACCTTGAGGCAACTCTCCAAGTCCGTACAACGGATACAGGTATGGACTTTTTCCATAACGAGCCAACGAATCACTGTACAACTTGATGCGTCTGATCAAGTTAGCGGCAGGTTCATTAATGTATTCATCATTCAAATATAGTGCCAATGCATGACCTGTAAAATCCTGGGTGTTTTTGTCCAAACCGAATTTTGTGTACAGCTGCAAAGCGGACATACGCTGCGGATCAACGTCTTTCCATGTTTTCGGATCGTTCTCCTGGAAGTCTTGTACAAAAATCAGGAAATTTCTAAACCGTCTCTTCTCAAATATACCCATCAAGTCTGAGGACAGCGCTTCCTTCTGGTCTACAGGTACCTTGTAGATCTTACCGCCCTTGTACACGTAACTACCCTCGACCGACTTGAACTCCAGGTAACGTGTTACGCCCGTGTGTATGAGCAACTTGACCAGTAGGCCATTGGCCATCAAGAACTTGGGCACCAAGTCAACGTTCCAGTCACGGCCACGACCGTGCTCCTTTTCGTCCGGCTCTGGCACACCAAACTTCTGGAACAGCTCCTGAAGCGGTGTGATGGACGCCGACTCGCCACCGTAGTACTTGTTTCGGTCGACATGCAACACCTTTTTACCCGAAACGGACAACATGCCCGACAGGATGCACTCCTTGAGACCAGTGCCCAGCACAATGCAATCGTACTCTTCATCCATGGTTGATTTTTCAAGTTTTTTTTTGTGTTGTCACACCGTCTGTAAAAAGTGGACAATCGATGGGTACAACGGCGATCCGGTCGTCGGTCCTTTGTTAAAACTATTTGCAAACCAAATTAATGGCAAAACCGTGAATTCTGGAAACAATAGTTGATTGTAATGAGTTATGGTACTTCCTAAGTCACAGTCCGCAGATTAGAAAAAATACAACACCAAATCACTAAATGACGTCGACGAAAATCCGTCAATCGGAAATATCAATAAAAAAAAAAAAATTTGATATTGCGGTGGGTAACCAGTCAAGGTCACACTGTTTGTCTGTACAGTGTACACATTTGGACAACAGCTTCTCCACTACGAGTACAAAACTAAACTGATTATTGTTCATTGAACTGCGACTTACTTGTTATAATTTTTATTTTTTTTACATTCTTATTTAAATTGAGATAAATGGTTCCTTCACAATAATAATATTATGTTAGCTAAAATATTCTTTTATATTTTGGTACGTTAATAAACACGTATACTTGATACTACTTGATACAGTGCCGAACCTTTTCTTTTTGTACTTTTTTTTCATACAAAATATAGGTAATATAAGCACCTCTAAAAGTTACTTACCAACAAGAAATGCCATTTTTTTTTTTCAAACACTAAGTATAATTTGTGACCCCTACTGACCAGGGAGTGGGGCGTTATATATGTATAGGTATAGTGTACCTAGGATAGGTATAACATAATCATTAATCAGAGATAAATATAACTAATTTGATATTTTCACATTTATTTTGTTTCTATCTCAACAACTTACATAAATTATAGCAATTCGATACATGTTATTTATAATATTATAGATTAATATCTACTCCCTGTAATCTGCAAGCTTGTGGCGGGAGTAGGGAGTTTATTCAAAAATATAAGCTAATTGAATTTAAATAGTCACACATTTAATAACGTATCAAAACAATGCAATTTATGTTATTATTAATACTAGGACTTAAAATTACTTTGATATTTAAATACTATTGAGTAATAATTAGTATCTAATGACTAATCAAATAATCACACGTACGTATGTACGTAACCTATGTTATTTTATATACTAAAATTTAATCATATTATCTATTAGTTTAACATTTTATTCGGTAGGCAGTTGGTTAGGTTAGGTTAGATCGTAGACGTAATAAAATCGTATTATCATATCTTATTATGTCTATGGGTTAAATAAATGAATGATTTTATTTATATTGTAATAGATCCCCATCAAAACTAATATCTAAACCTCGCTAGTCCTCCAGTCCTTGAATTGAAAAAATAAAAGAAGGGGTAAGTTAAAATATTTTAAGAAAATAAATGGCACTCTGTCCCCACAACCTCCAACCCATTCAATCACTGGATATGAATTATGAAATTTAACTGTGTTCTTATAAGTGTGCATTTTTTGGTGTAACCAGTGGCGGACATAGAGAGAGTGGATTAAGAGGTCAAAACCCCCCAAAATGTATATTTGTTTATATAATGGCACAGTAAAATGCTTTCATGGTGAAATAGCAATAGCTAATTGTGTGTACCACTAAAAAAAACCTTGGTACGCCCCCGAATATAACATATTATCTATTGAACACTATATCTACAAAATCTTTTTTAGCTTTATTTTAAAACCATTTTTAATATTTTACCCCTATTCCATATACCTTAGATAAGTACATAGTTTTTATTTTCAAACAAGAACCTCCCCCCCCCCTTTTGAACACAGATTTGAATAGAGGGTATTTTTCTAGACATTTTGATATGCATATCACTAATATCAGATTTACTGTTTATGGGTTAAAACAGTTTAACGTTTAGACCAGAGGAGTAGGGAAGGGTGATCAATTCTATCTATGAAACATCATAGCACGAGCCGTCACTGGATATATTACCCATATAATTGATCAACTCCCGTCTGGCCCACAGTGGTCTAATTTTAGAATTTTGCCGATAAATTGGGTTTATGTATCTGTAAACTGACTGATTACAAATATAGTCTTTTTGCATCTATATCCAAACATTCCAACAATGGCGGATAAGGAATGCATTATTGTGAGCAAATGTTGCGTACGTTGCTCATTTATAGAGTGAATGCCGACAAATAACGTTTATATTTTCCAAATATTTCGTTTCATTTTTTAGTTTTCAAAATCAATTTTTATTTAATATGAACACGGAAATTAAAGGTAGGTAAGTTGTTCAAATTTCAAAATATATGCTCTTATTTTTATTTATTTGCGTTTCAATTGTGCAGTTATGCAATAATTTTTAATCATGTGACTTTAAAAAAGCTATGAATGAAAATTACCTATTTTTACCTCTAAGTCCGGTATTACAGGTTATAGTACGAGTTCTCAGATTTGTAACTATGTACAATTTGTCTGCCTTTAGCCGCCTTTGAGGTGTTAGTAGTTTTCCGTAGAAAACTCATAAGTTTTAATATATATTTTTTATCTCAGCTGCTTTATTCAGTCATTATACAATAAAAATTGTAGAATAATAAAGTAAAAACAAAACTATTAAATGGTTAATACTCGCCATTAAATATATAAATAAATAAATGTGTCGCTTGGAGTATTATGAAATGTGTATTGTACTGAAGTCACGTTTTACTTTTTGACTTTGTGATTTTACCTGACGATGAGTTTTTAATTTGAAACCAGTCATAATTTCATAACACTCCAGGAGTCCAGGAGACGCAATTATTTATTTATATAATTAAAATAGATTCATTTAAAGCATATAGGTACCGTAGAGACAGCAAAACTATAAGTCAAGTATCATATCCTTGGTATCACCTATTATTATCTTTTTTTTACTTAGAACCACTGGAGACTAGAAGAATAAGGTTTGATCTTATCTTCATTTTTAAATTACTTATTGGACAAATTGATTGTTTAATTTTACCAGATAAATTTATTAAACTTTTCAGTACTAAATCGCAACACTAGACAAATACATACTTTTTGTATACCATTCCAGGCTACGAACTATGGTGTAAATACTCCTGTTATTATATGCATGAAATTAGTTAATAAGTTTAATTTTGATATTTTTCCATATGTAATTGTAAACTCTTCAATGTACATTTAAAGAGCATAATTTCTTAATTTATATGTACATCCTAACTTTTCAAATTGTATACTACTTATTAGTTTATGTTCCTTGTTTATGGACAGCTGCCCGTCTAAATAAACAATAAATATATATAATAAACATGCCATGCCTAGAAGTGTTGATAAGATATTAATACACTGTGCTGATGTGAAATATGCATTACTTTCAGTAAGTAAATATTTTATTATTAACAGCGTAAATTAATACTTTCAATAATGACAAATTTTATATTTTTAGGACAATTATCTGAAAAAGCTGCTTCTGCAAATAATAAAGAACTTCGTATGTTTCGAGAATATCATTTTAGGAAATCTAGCAGGGCTACACAAACAAAAATATCTAACACATGCTATTAGTTTATTTGGACTCATATTTATCGTTGACAAGAAAAATAATTAAAACAAAAAGGAAAATTTACCAATAGAAGTAGAACAACTTCTTATAATTGAAGACGAAAGCAAAGAAATTAATAATAGTGATGATGTGATGACCAGTGATTATGACAATGAATCAGACGAATAAAAAATAACCGTTTTAAATTGTTTAAAATATAATGTTTAATAACAATTTTGTTAAATGTGCTATATATATATAATTCAATATTAAAAACTTATATACATTTATATTATAACCCCTTAAATCCCCATAATCATCTTTTATTCATTAGGGGTTAATTTAAAAAAAAAATTAAATTTGGATTTATTGACTTTAAAAATATAAAGTTTGAATTATCACATAGTTTCCTAACCTAAATTGACGGTAATAATTTCGTTGCGCTAAACATTCATCCTGGATCCCTGCGTGGCTCCCCTCAAACCATAATCCTAGAAATTATGCTACTGTGTTAGCATTACGACATAATATTTCATTTTTACCTCCGTACAATATATTCTTCTAGTCCTTATAATTTCTGCCAGTGGCGTCACGAACTTTAAATAATGTATTAGTGAATCGTTTTTTTTACATTCACCGCTCATCTCGATCCAGCGATTCGTACAATACCCTATAGCTCAGTGTTTCTCAAACTGGGGTTCGCCAACCAATTATTTAGAGTCACCAAAAATATAAAGTATTGGGTCGCCATGTATAAAATATATATTTAAGAGTAGCTAAAAAATTAAATATTCATTTAGGGAGTCACGACTGTAAAAAGGTTGAGAAACATTCCTATAGCCTTTATAATAGCTACATATATAAGTTTAATAGTAACACGTGTCTCTCCTAATCGTACAAATTTCACAAAAAACCGCTTACCTTACCCTATAAAATTCACAAGCAACCACTTCTGGAAACCATGATTCGCAACGGTATTGTTTTCTACTTTACAATGGCGTATTTCACTAAAGATTAAGTAGGTAACATAAAATCGCGTATCACTGGATCGGAGACATCTATCAACATCAAAGTAATGTTCAAATATATTACAACGACCGTGATTGCAAAAGGTTTCTAAAAATTTTTCAAATGAGAACCTATATTAAAAATTAAATGTGGTATCACCACAGGATATTCTTTAAATGTTGTGAAAAAACTAAGTATTCGAAAATATCGGCTTTAACTACACTTAAAAATTCCAAAATCTGAATTTGAATATATGCAAAATTTAACCATAAAATTGGTGTGAGCACGCTTAATGAATCACTTTGTATAGGTAAGTTTAGAATAGTTACTTATAGTGTTTAAGTGTTTTTGTGTTCATACAAATATTAATATAGAAAATACAGTTTTTTCTTGTACATAATTTATAATAAATTTAAGTTAACATGTAAAAAAAATCACAAAACTTGATTGCCCAAAAATCGAACAAAAATATAGAAATAGAATCTGCTAACTTTAAAAATTGAATGTCTAATTGTGATAAAAAAAAAATCTTTTCATATTTTCTTCTGACAGAAATACAGTTTTTGAACGGTGTTTTCATACAAGTTCTCATATCAGCATTCTGGGATTCGTTTCGGGAGATTGGGTCAGCCCCTCTGTTTACACCTGATGTGGAAAAAAAAATCAATAATTAACGAGAATGTACACAATTATAATTTATATAAAAAACAATACAAGTGTACAACTTATAACAATACAAGTAATACAATATTTATATTTGACAAAGCAAGTAATCAATATTGGTCCAAATTGGCAAGTCATATGCAGTGATTAAAAGGTTCATTACAGTTAATACTAGTTAGTAGCACATGATATTTAGAATATAATATTATATTGGATATACTTATAGGTATTAATACAGTATAGGTATATTATAGAAATTCGCATGGAATGAACTGCAGGAATTAGATAGTTGATGTAAATATGGTTGATTTAAGTAGGGAAAATAAATCTAACACACCAATAATGGTGGTATGAAATACTAATATGAGAAGGGAATCTATTGAGTCTTTTAACCCATTTAAAATTAATTAGGCTTTAGAAAATCCCCATTTCATATTTTTTTTTTGTAGGTACCTAAACTATTTATAAGTTATTAAAGTATAATTAATTATTACGAGAAGATGCCACTAATTCATTTCGCTCGGTCTTAGTTTGATACATATTATATAGTATTTAATAATCTTTTTTGAATCGTTTAAATGAAGGGTCTACGGTTAATTTTTGGAGTTAAATTAGCCCTCAGTCCCCACGATGTTTGCGCTTATAAATATAATAATCATTATAAGCAAATACTATAAAATACAATAAACGTGATAACTACAGCTAAAATACTAGATGTCATCTCACCCCACAAAAACTAATTAGTTGTCTATATTAGCCTAGTGATTCTGTATATGAATTGCCTATACTAACAGATAAGGAGAATTTAAACATTAACGGCATTTTAGTCGAAAATACCTAAACCAGAAAACTATAGAGCCATTTACTGTATCAATTTATAAACAAGTTTAATTTGATTTATATGGGTCGAAGCTTATTTTTCATATTTTCATTTAATTATTTACCGTAGAAAAGTCTATACAAATTTTAAAAGTTTTATTCGTAAATGGGTATCAGCTAATAGATTATTGAAAAAGTCGTATCATTTAGATGGTCATTAAAATTTAAAAAAATAATTTTCAAAATTTACAAAATTATAGAAAATTTGGAAAACTGTTTTCGACTCCCTTAAAAACAAACAAAATTTACATTAACAAACACTCATTAGGAATTTATGATGCGCCTGTGAGTGGAATTTCAGGCAAAGGGGGGCAAAATAAACTAATGTAAGTATGTTAAATAAAAGTTTAGTTTAATGTTATTTATAAATTAGCAACTTATGTACATAATGTAGAATAGGTAAGACCACTATGGTTTATAAGGGCTACGCCATCGATTTTTATAATTGAATGTCACGTGTTGCGATTATTGTATTTGTTATTAGCACCCGATACCGTAAATCTGTCGAAACACTCACAACAATACGTCCTATATAGTGTCGCTTGTAGTCGCCAAACGAACGTCGTTTCTAATACTGGCGGAGATGGTCTGTCATGGACTGCACTTTGTAGGAGTGAACAGTTTTGTTTTCGCATTTTCATCGCTGTAATCAGTAGACTTACACTCTTATGGTCACCGACGGAAATAATATAATAAAACAAAATAACACGTCACTGGTCTCGGTTGAATTTAAAAAGAAAAATGGTGTCGGCCATGGATCGCTCTACAGAGACAGCGTGAAGATGTCAATTTTGCGTCTTCCAACCACGACGATGACTACGCCCACTAAGACTTAGGTGTGGAAATCTGTTATAGTTTACAGTACCTATATAGTATACATATATTATCGTGGTTTATAATATAAAATATTATATTTAATTAGCACCATTAGATAATAGAACCCGTTTAAAAATGTAGCATTCCTACAGGTTACCGGTGCTGTTAAAATATACATCGGTCGCATAAAAACATTACGCAAGTGTATCTGTAACCTATATCTTACGAATATTTTGTGAAAACGTTGGAAATGTAAAATTGATCAACCGGAGAGTGCAATTGAACATGAGTGTTTCAGTATTGAAACGTACCTTAGAATAAGTATTCGTGCCAGAGTATTTATATTACCACAGCTCTTCTAATACTAGCACTCCAGTGAACCGTATGATGCTGTGATCAGAAGCGTACATACCACACATACATACACAGTGGGATCGAAATTGGCCAGACACAATTGCTCGTTCTTTCAAGTACAGTGTAAATCTGAAAATTATATTTACTACAATTATTAATCGAACTACATAATATTATTACAAAAGTATAAAATATTCCAGTAAAATTATAATTTATCATTTTTATTTATCGTAACATGATTGTGGATAATCAAATCATTGGTAAATTATTCAAATTCAGAGCTTGGATCATATACCATATCTAAGGCCGTATTTAGGGATTTTGTGCCCCCAAGCATAACATTAATGGCGCCCCTTTTCAACAAAAACTTTTTTTTTAAATCACAGTAGTGGTAGCTTATTTTTTTTCACCAGGAGCCATAAAATAAATTCATTTTTTATATTTCCCTTTCTCATTGATAATTTAATTCGCAATTAAGTTTTGGCAATTTTAACTTGGTATGCATTCTCTATACATGTTTAATAGTAGGTATACTATACAAAAGAAAACACAAGTAACTAATTTATAACTTAGGTACCATCTACCTAGAATCTACTATAGTATTCATAGTAATGAATGATACACAATTAATAATATGTAATATAATAATATTTATTGTTTATTTTACAATTTTTTTCTTGATTGAATATCAGCAAAATTATCTATAATGTCTATAATGTCATATTTAATTTGTTTTGTTATGTCTCATTCAATATTTAATACTTCAAGTACGTTTAATTCCTCTTTAGATATTGTTTACCTACTTATCAGTTTAAACATGGTATTTATTTTGTTTGTATTTTTTATAACTTCATTAAAATTAAATAGGTAGCCGATTATTTTACTATTCAAATTTTTAAAGTTAAATGTTTAGTAAAAACTTTACAATGGTCATACTCACATAACACATGAGATTACGTATTGTATTTACGTTATGAATAATATGACTACTTAAATAAAATGTCAATACCTATATTCAGCTGTCAACAACACATAAATATTATTATTATACAATTTTTACATATTTCCTAAAAACCTGAACAATCGTCATCGACTGTTAAAAATAGTTTTATTTTGGTGAATCCTACAATCGACAATCCCTATTAGATTACTTAGATTCCTTAGATTACTAGTTTTACTAGTAAAAATAAACCAACTAATATTTAATAATAAATTAGGTGCCTACATACTTAGTTAATAACATTTATTTTTTTTTATTTAAAATGATGAAATATAGGTAGAAAAAAATGTATGTATATGTGAATTAAAAAAAAACAAAATAAGATGTATAATCATTTTTGAGAAGATAAATCTACCTCAATACAAAGAAAAAATTCATTTTTTGTTAATTTTATCTGAGATAATTTTGCTGCTCCCAAAGTATGCCGCTTCCAGGCAACTGCCCACCAGTGCCTCTTTTAAAACCGGCCCTGTGGTATATACTTATCATTTTTGTGGATAAGTTAATGGAAATAATAATTAACCTAATTAAGTTAAATTATTAAGTTAGATAAACAATAGTACTTAAGTCATAGAAGTAGCGTTAGTTCTTTTGGAGGGCTATAGGCCTGTTTATTTCAGGGCGTAACTGGGGGGGAGGGGTATTACCTCCCGCAGAAAAATGTATACCACTCCTTGAAAATATATGGCATTACTAAGAAAACTATATGTGAAATTAATTTTAGGCCAATTACGATTCATCTTATTGAAAATAAAATAAAATAAGCTGCTCTAGGATAATAGGGACGGGTGCAGCCACTGTTATCAGTGAGAAGTTGGAAAGGTAGCAGAGGGGAAATTTAATATATATCTGTAAGCAACCATTGCTAACGAAAAAACGATTCTGAGCTGGGTTTGATTGATAGTGCTGCTTTGTCAACAATATAGGTGCATATTATGGTAAAATAATTACATAGGTATGCATAATATATTTTATTTAATAATATTTGTTTAATATCGTACATATTTCCCGTTTTCTTTACGTTTTTCCTGTTTTTCCATATTTCCCCTAGGTATTTCTCATTTATTGGGAAAACTGAGAAAATCAAAATATGACCTCCCTAAAGTATCTTCCCATGAAGGTCTGAAATGAATACTGGCTATAGCCCTAACAAAATAGTTTACATATAGATACAAAATCTAAAAAGTAATAAAGGCAATTTTTATAATGAGTAACAATACCAGAACGATAATGTATAGTAATAAACACTAAACATAATAGGTATAGGTATGTCAATGTATTATTTATTGTTAGTTGTTAAGTTTGTGTGTAATTGATCTTTTATGTTTAAATAAATATCAGCTATATGAATAGAGCACTATTGTACCAATACGTCGATTGAAAATATTAAACATAAAATGTTAATGTTTTGTAAATACGTATGCCAGAAATCAATGAGTAAGTGTATAATATCTTATTAATAAAATAACGGTCAAAATATCGATGAATGGCAACCATTGCGGTCATTGAAATCGTAACCAAAGATGGGCAGCTATAGGGATGTTTATAGGAATTTTCCTAGTTTGGGTGGGCAATTTTAATGAACATAAAACTATTATTAAATTATTTTCATATTAGTCTTCCGAGTTTTTGTCAAATTTTACACTTAAGGCTAAATATTTTCGGTTATTTGAACATGGTTTGAATGTAATATTTATTTTTTAAGTAGTAATCCCAATAGTAGTAAACGTAAACCTGTAGAAATGTAAAATTTGTTCATATACATAATATTTACGATATGTGTATAGGTACCTACTAGGAGTTATTATACTGGTTTAATTTAATTATAATATTTAATTTCATAGAATTCATAAAAGTTTAAACCGACTAATTTACGATGCTAGTAATTCGGTCGATCACAAAATCTTATTAGTTGATTATTGCTCCCATTTTGTATTTATCTTATAACCATCGTCTTATATTATTATTATTATATCTAATGGGTTACAAAACTAACACTCTGAAATGTTTATTGACCATAGATGTAATTAGCAAAAGAGCTTGAATACCCAGCGAAAAAGCAAAACAGACATAATATATGTTCTCCCACACACTGGTCGTTTAAGAAATGAAAAAATTGTCTTATCAACATGATTATTCTATAGAAAAAAAATACTTTTTCAACCAACTGAGAAGGGGATGACTTCTGCATTCCACCCCTTTATCTAAATACAACCACTGGACATAATAATTATAGGTTTAGGTTTTCATAATAAAAATTAATTTACTGCATATAAGTGAAAATATTTATCTTTATATTATAATATTCTCTGTGACCGAAAAATGCGTTATAATTGAAAACTACTAATTCCATCATTTCCATCGATCGGTGTATTATGTTATTATATAGTTATTAATTATTATGTTTAGTACTCACGAGTGTGGAAAATCGTTGAAAGATATTACAACATTAAACGTAAATAGAATATTATAATATACAAAGGTATTTTAATAAGTACCTACATTTATTCTGAAATATTCGAAATCCGACTAGGACATTATTCTTGAATTTATTTTTTAAAATAATTATCGGTATTTAATGGTTTTAATCAAATTGCGAATTCAACATAATCGGAATACAATAAACAAAACGCGAAAGCTAGCACAAACAAAATGGCAATAATAAACGCGATGCACAACTTTACCGTTTTAGAACACATGGTTATGACGTTAAATATTAAAATAAAGACATATAATACCTACCTGATATTATCTACTCGATGATAAAAAAATAGTATGTTTATGTGCAGCAAACGTGTACATTATGTATGGTAGGTGATAGTAGTGATAGTTTGTTATGTAAGTGTACAAAGTTCATAATATTCGTCTAAATAATCACACGATAAAGTGAGTATGAGGTAAAAAAAAAAAAAAAAAAAAAAAATAATGAATTATTATCGAATCATGTTCAAGTATTATATGCGTATTTACAATGGAAATATAATAACATTGGTAATGTTATAAAATATTAAATTTACGCACTATGCGTTTGTTTAAATAAAAAACGTCAACAAAAACACAAAAGTAAAGTATATTAAGTGCGCGTCTAATTAAAACCGACACGTGACTGAGAAGAGTGCCGTTCAATGGTATATTTTAGCAAAATGCCCAAGGAAAAAATGTCTGGAGAAAGATATATCTGGAGGTTATCCGAAAAAAATGCACACAAAATTACCTAAAATCATAGAATACCAAAATTAAAACCAACAGGTGCGTTACTAAAATCTAAAACAAAAAAAATACGGACGTAATTCGCATGTAGGTGCAGCCATAGTTGTAGGTGAGAATGGTAGTAGAAAGGTAGTAGAGGGAAAATTTAATGTATGTATATCTGAAAGGAACGATAAGCCATTGTTAACGAAAAAATGATTCTGAGCAGAGTTCAGTTTATAGTGTTGCTTTGTCAACAATATATATGCCATATTATGGTAAAATAATTGCATAGATATTATATATTTTCTTTAATAATAATTGTTTAATATTGTACCTATTTTTCCGTTTTCCCATATTTTTTCTCGGATTTTTCCATTTATTGAAAAAACTCCAGGGAAAATCAGAAAATGACTTGTTTAAAGTACCTCCCCAGTTAGATTTCCTTTTAGACAAAGTGCTGTCATTATAAATCGGAGCAAAATTGCTGGTAGAAAAGTTATCCACAGAAAAAAAAAGAATCATAATATTTTACTAATATATTTCGTACATTTTCCCGTTTTTTTCTTTCGGTTTTTCATATTTGATGAGGAAACTTCTGAGCCAATTTAAAAATCGAAAATCACGTGCTAATGAGTGGTTCCTAGACTATTTATGGATATCACTCGTTTTTTCTGTGTGCATAGGAATAAAATAAGGTACTTAATTGTGTTTTCTTTTTAAACTTTTTTTCACTTTTTGTACGATGATGACTACGAATATTAGAAATAATATTTTATTATTATTAAGTTACTGGCACCAATCGCATTAGTATTAGGTTTAGTGACGTGGATATAATAATTAAAAATATTTTTTTTTTTTTTCTAAATTCGCTAATTATTTATGATTATCTATAAATTATATTATATGTACATTACACCTTCGTTCAGATAATACCTAGTAATTCTAGTAATTATCACTATGTTATCGCTGCTCTTTATTTATAGGCACTTTAAAATTTAATTTACATTTCATCCGAACACCGAATTTTTACTAGAAAAAAAAAAGGTACGAATTCGGTGTTGTTTTTTCAATTTATAGTGTTTTTAAGGGGACGCTATACACGCATGTTTTGTTTTAGTCCAACTAACGAGTGATATAGCAAAATCTGTTTTACGCAGTCTGCATAGAACTCGCTTAATTTCGGTTTTACAGTTTTAAAGCACCTATTATAAAATGAAAAGAGAGCAATATTTCGAAGGGTAAGATGATACGTTTCTTTTTTCGAATTCATTTTTTATAATGTTACTCAGTCATGTAAAAACGATAAATTAGGTTTTAATCTTAAAAAATGTATTGAACGTTATAACCAGAGTAGTAGTTATATAGAATGATAGTAAAAACGCATAGTTTTGTCCTCCGGAACATTGTCTGCTTTCTAGGTGCTTTTACTTTAAAACCAAAATTAAGCGAGTGCTACGCAGACTGCGTAAGGTAGACAGCACATGCGGGTATAGCGTCCTCTTAAGTTCTTTTTTTTCTCTCTCTCTTACGTGGCGATTGTCCCGTGTATCACATCGCGTTTACAAAAGTTTTCGTTACAAATGTTTTTATATACATACGTGCGCATCGTTATTATATTTACATAAAAGCTAACGCCAATGTCTAGCAAGAAAGGAAAAATAAATATCTAATCTAAATTTGATATCGAATTACGACTTAGTGAAACGATGACAGAAACTCGACGCGGAATTAAATTGATATTGAAAAGAACGACGAATAACGACGAAATATTGTGAAATAATAATATTCCGATACAATACACGAACGAACGTTTTCATTTGTGACATAATGCAATATAATGTCATATTATACGCTGAGATGTTTTTTTTGTTTTTTAACCGAGATGAGATATATTTAAATATTTGTATATACACTGTCTGCAAATAAATTCGATAATATCGCGTGTATTTTAATTTACGAATAAATATCACCAATAAAATTTATCTGGAAAAATTTTTTTTTAAAATCCTACCGCATTAATTGATGTGTATCCGTCAACGTTTACCGTGCGATCTCGTCGACTTCTATGCAACAAAATTATGTAAAACTAC